AGCATATATAAATACTGTTCAGAATAAAGATACTATTATTTTTATTATTTCAAACCCCAATATGACAATAATAATAGACTGCTAACTGTTCTGTTTGTCGCCTACACATTTGATTGTCACTTTGACCTTTCAAACACTTTTACACGTTGAGACAGGTGTATTCAGAGGCTGGCATGGTTTTTAACTCAGTCTGAAATAGTGTCGAAAATCGACTCGTTTGGTTGGAACACTGAAAAGGAGGGAGACCTTAGAAAATCCAGCCATACCGTAGATGTCAGACAGTCGTCAATATCACTTCAGTTACAATGGAGAAGGGAGATGGCATTAGTTTGCTAGAAGGTGAAGCCTGTCAATGGATAATAGACTGAATGCTGTTGAAATGATCAAATATCCAGCGATTATGATCATCACTCGAGTGATGATCTAATAACAAAACTAAATTATACAACACTTAAAATTCTGTAGAGGGATCATATTGTAGCCGTAGAAGACAAGAGAATTGGCAACGGAATGTTCACTTAGAGTTCAACATTTTTTTATATTAAGGAATTATGTACACCTTTTATGAAAATCGTCATTTGCTCAGATCTTCCGTGTTCTGCTGCTGCCCTTCGTATTGCGTTCCCTCGCATTCTTTTCATGGCTTCCAGGTTTCACCACAATCCTGGTTCATCATTTCATCTCTTCGACGTGAAATCCATATTCCCGCTCTCTGATGTTTTTATGCCGATGAACTTATCTGTACACACTACTGATAATTCTTGTCAGTAGTACACGCCAAAATTATGACTGGACAGTGATATTTCCAATTGTTTCAGGTTACTTCTTTCCTTATTCATTCTTTTAGTCAGCAGTTGCATGGAACTTCAATGCATATCTCATCCTGTCAGTGCAATTAAATTTGTCATAATATAATCCCAGGTTCCCTAGACGGTCCTATTTTAAAGACACTTTCTGTCTTACAACCTACAACCTATATTCGCGCATGTGAAGACCAAGAGAACATCCACCAGAGTTGACATAGAGGTTCTCACATTTGATACAAGTGAACCTCTGGTTATCGATTACAATCAACCTTCACATAGCTGAATTACGTCTTAAGGCTATTTCTCTGAACTATCCTATTCAAGGGTAGGCTGTGTTGTGATGCATGAATATCAATGCCTGTTTGTTTCTTAAAATTACCTGAAGTTCACCTTTCAACATATTTCTGTAATCTAGAAATCGTTAATTCACTCTGATCGATCCGTTGCACTTGATATCGTATTTGCTAAATAAAATACCTCGCCTGAATGACTCACATGGAGCAGTAAGCATAACAAAGATTTTCTCTGAGTGAGTTTATCAGTGAAAGTCCCATGGTTAGCTAATATCCTAAATCTTCTTCCCGCCTCCAATGACACTCATAATCCAACATGATTAATTCATCACTCTGTTCAAACGTTAAGTCAGTAATCGTGTCTTATACACACAAACACACACATACCTCAACTGTACATAACCAAGACGAAACAGGATAGTTGTGAAATAAGCGTTAGACAGTAACAACACAACTGGAAACATGAAATACACACTATGATAAGATGAATTTCTGTTAAAATGAAAAAAAAATTAGAGTACATGAGTTAGCTTGTAGAGATGTGATTAGTTTCAAATTGCTCTGGCTGGATTCAACATAAAACTTGGCACCGAAGTGCAGCAGTTCGAGTTGCCACGTTCCAAAGAGCATACAAAGGTAGACAGGAAAATGAGTAAAGAGAATCAATAGAGTTTTGACAAGCATAAGAGTCAAACAGAATGAGTAATGGTAGAAAAGAATATGAAAGATTACAGAGACTGAATACATCTGCGTAAGCCATTGACAACGATTTTGAACCATGTCATCTATTGTCTCCAGCCATTGATTCTAACAGTCCCGAGGGCCCCAACCTGGAAGTCTGCATCTCCCTACCTGACTCAGTTTAACTGTAAGGGATTTCATGGATTGATGAGGCCATGTTTTTGTTTGGCCACCACTTACTCTTTTCCAACCTGCACCTATATCAGCTAGTATTGCCCGTCCGTCGGGCGAGGCGATGGCTAGGCATGCGCAGCACGTGACCTAGCCATCTCAATCTATGTAACTTTATAGCCTCGTCGATTGATTTTCCCTCTTTGCCGAACACTCTACGCCTAACGTCAACATTACTTACCTTATTATACCACCTGACGTGAGAAAGAGATCGTAAACATCTGTGGTCAAAAACAGTCAACCTTTTCATATCTTTAACTCGAACTGGCCATGTTTTAGAGCCATAGAGAAGGATGGAGCGAACTGATGAGCAGTACACACGTCCCTTGGTTGATAGTCGGATGTCACGCCTACGCCAGAGATGGTGTAAGTTAGCGAAAGCAGCCCGAGCTTTTTGGATCCGTACTGAGATTTCGTCACCAATCAATCCGTTGGTGCTGAAACAACTTCCAAAATAGGTGAAGTGGTCAACATATTCTATCACGTCACTCCCTATCACGAAGCTAGGAATCGACGCAGTCCAGTCCTGTAGCAGAATCTTACATTTTACAGGGGCGAATCGCATGCCAAACATATGAAGATTGCTGCACAAGGTGTTCAGAAAACTCTGCTGGATTTTGTCAGCATCCTCCCCTAACAGGACTACGTCGTCTGCATATTCTAAGTCCATAAGACTATTCCCTGGTAACAAGTCGATTCCTAAGTCGTTAAGTTCAGTTAAGGGTACTTTCATTACCATATCTATGATGAAGTTAAACAGAAAAGGGGAAAGTGGACATCCTTGACGGACATCACTGGTTGTTATCAATTCAGATGACAATTCCCCATAAGCCCTTACATGGCTACGTGAGTTTGAGTAGAGTGCCTAGATTAGTGCAATGTACTTTTTTTGGCACTTCCCCGACCGAAAGCTGCTACCTTGACGTGGTGGTCGGGCTTGAACACCGCAATGACCCAACAAGCTACACTGGCTGGAACTTATGTCCCTGCAGGTCCTACCATGCCAGAAAGGTTGTTTGGATAGCGGTTAGACTAAAAGCAGTTACCCAATCTAATCCTATGACTCCAAATAAATCACAAAATATCATGCCGGATCGGTCGGGGCCCGGATTAACAACGACCGCGCTTTCTGCTGCCGTATCACAGGGCAGAACTGATAAATACGCTACTGAGACACACCAAATGAAAAACAACAAACGAAAACAGGCCGTGTGTGACCGGCCTCAAGCAGTTGTCCCCTGGGCTCTGCAGTCACGCAACCAACTTCCACGGTGTGGGTAGCCGGGAAGTAACAATCACCCTCACAATCCGAAGTGAACGCGAAACCTCTCTAATCCTCACTCACCTTTGTCTTCATCTTTATTATCTTGCCTTCCTTCTACTAATGCAACTCCTCTACTTAATGGCTCTTCACTCTTTGTGCGCTGAAAACGACGGAAGCCAATCCAATTTTGGCACTCCCTCCACAGTCAAACATTGCCATAGTACCTCTCGATCCACGGAGTCGAAGGCCGACTTCAAGTGAAGAAATGTGGCAATTGTTGGACGCCTAAAAGTGTGTCTATGTTCTGGGATCTGTCGGAGAGTGAAGATATCATCTATGCACCCTCTACCTGGCCTAAAGCCTGCTTGATTTTCCCTCGTTTGTTCCTCCCGAGTTCGCCTTAGTCTGTGCATGATTACTGAGCTTAGGATTTTAGAGACTATGTTCGTCAGGCTGATTCCTCTATGATTATCACAGGAGGGCTTGTCTCCCTTCTTGAATATCGGTATAATAAGTGACTTACCCCAGTCTGATGGAACCGTCTCTGATTCCCAGACGTTACCTAGTACCTTAGTTAAACTATATACTAGTATGTCACCCCCATATTTAAATACCTCCGGAATAATTCCGTCGGGTCCTGCCGCTTTGCCTCGTTTCAAATTACAGATTGCTTTGGTGACCTCACTTACAGACGGCGGGCCAGTGTCTATGTCCCGTTCGGGTGTGTGCTGGATGGCGGGGAGGCTCAGCGTGGCTGTAGGCAAGTTAAATTGTTCCTCAAAGTGTTCCTTCCAGCGTTCAAGGCGTCTATCCTGAGAGCTAATTAAGGAGCCATTTTTCTCAGAAATAGTCTCACTTATGATTTACCTTCTCCCACCCGTTTCCCTGATGAGTCTAAAGAGTTGCGTAGTGTTGCCTATCGCCGATGCTTTTTCCATCTCTTTCGCCTTTGTCAACCACCACTGTTCACGGTCCTTGCGGAGACTTTTCGTAAGTTTCCTTTTGTGCAGCTTTCGCTCCTCATTGAATTCGGAGGAATAAGTCTTCTAGCATCTATCAGTTCGGATGAGGCAGTCGAAATCCAATTGCTCATGGAGTGATGACAGTTAGAGAACCATTGAAAACCAGAGAGTCTTGGCCAGCCGTCTTGTCCAGGTTACAACTCTTCGGCAGTACGCTCCCATGATCCTATCCACAAAGAATCGAACCCAGAGCCTCCAAGTTACCACGCCAAGCTGATTGACCATTCAGTCACTTTGGCAGAAAGCAAACGGACCATCAATTGTTACTTCTGCCGATTCTCGATTTGAGCACTACAGACGCCATCCAACCTGGTGAACTCACTCACCAATCACGACTTCTCACTAGAACTTCAGGAAGCCAGAATGACTTGGGTTCAACTCGCAGTGGGATCGTAAGTGCGTAGGACGGAACAGCTATCCACTACTCTCTGATGGCTTTTACAATGGTTACAGAACTGACATCAATCCGTGAATAAACCCTATAATACGGCTCGACAATTCCTAAGCCAGTACATTTCATCCACGTTTTAAGTAAGCACACCATCAATCAACTATTTGGTTATTAATTGCAGTCAAGAGGTAAAATCAACAATAACAAAAAATGTCGGCAATTTACACCTCATGATACACAAACAGATATTATTATAACGAAAATGAAACTTGATCACACAGCAATTTATTTCCCAGGGATTTTCTGTTACCACCATTGAATATAAAAGTATAAAATATAAGCAAATATATTTGTAGAACTTTTGTAGTTAAACATCACATACGTTTAGGAAATCTGGATATGTACACAGTTAGTGATAGTGAGAGTAAGTTTTATCCTGTAAATAACTTTGAATTGATTCTTGAGTGGGTGTCGGTGGTGGGTACCGTTGGAAGGGAGGGTGGGACACAGCAATAATAATAGTAAAATAAAAATAATCCCATCTAACAGGTAAAAGCACTTCATCTGTATTAGAATAAAAATGACTGCTGTTCATTCAGCTGTCTGCTTTGATTACTTCTTCGAAGAGATCATTCTTTATCTTCAATAGAAAGAATAATAATAAAATAAGCAACACATACATGATATTAATTTATTCTGCAATGAAAATAAACAGTAGACAGTGTTACAAAGTTAGAATATTCAAGAGGTTGTTTGCAAGGATTTCGTGGTCTGTTTCTCTAGTTTGATCATATAAGTTAGAGAACCATCGAAAACCAGGTAGGAGGGAGTACTGGACAGTTGTTCCATTCGCGTAGTTTGGGACTCATTCGTAGTACGAACCCTCCGCCAGAATCTTCCGGTTGGAAGGCGCGCTCCCAGACCATTCAACCACTCAGACCCGAATCAACGGCTAAACCATGAAATTTAAACTTCTAGCTGGTGGTTACGCTATAATCACGAATCGGTAGAAGCTAGAATTCATGGGCCATTGGGTCGGGTCCCACTGGCTGAATGGTCTATGATCTCGAATCCTGGAGGTGAGTACATACTGCCTATCATTCTCAAAATAGGCGGACGAGACAGCTGTCCAGTACTGCCTAGTATTCAGTGATTCTCTTACTGACATCAGTCGGTAATCAAACTTGAAAAGTTAGAATAATCAACACTGTCATGTTGGCATTGTTGATCTCTGTGATCTGAATGATTTGGTTGCAGAGTGTTCAGTCGCCTACTAGTCAACATCTTCAGTCCCAGTTTCAAATGGCAATTGTCGTCTACAAGAACAATGAAGACTTCTTCATTACACCATGGTATCCACTTTACAAAATATAACAACACCAAAATCACCCTTGACAGTTCACATCAGGCGTCGAGTAAGGTTCAAGGAGTCGACGAGAATAACACATTCCCATTTAGTTACCATTATTAGGGGTTGGAATTCAGCAGTCAATGAATTCAAACTTCTGTCAAAGCAAACCTCCATGCTTTTCAATTATACGCTAATTGATGTCGTTTTCACACAAAATCGATCTTGCACTAATCACTTCCCCCGTACTTGGAACTTTCGTTCTTCTCAAAAATTTCCTAGTGAACAACATCACGCGCTCAACGAGGAAAGAAATCGACTAAAATAAACGGAGTATACGAATCACAGTAAAGCCAAAGCAATCACGAAAATATCGCAGAGAGTGGGGATTTAGCCTATTAACTGAAGGATAATGCACATCATCCAAGAAGGCTTTGGACAGATGGAGAGAGTATAGGGGGGCGGCACTTATTCCTGTGATCTACCATTTACCGAGAAAACAACAGCTGCTCATGACACCCACAACAAGATGTTAAACGTGTAAACGCCCTTCTTACGCTCTTATACTTTGTTTAGCCAATTCGTTGGAAGGCATAAAGCAAAGAGAACACTGACTGTTTTGGCTGTTATAATCCTGACGAAACAAATGGTTTTGAAACACCTCCGGTTGTTGTCGTCGATATTCTCAGCTGTGTTACACTGCCAATAAACATAACTACTAATAGCCTTCAGCACAGGTGAAGTTGAACTTTAGACACCCAACGGGTGCGAACTCACCAGTGACCTATGACGTAACCATCAAGCTATGAAGCTATTCATTAATTGAAAATGCCCGATTCAGTGGTCTCGTGCGTTAAACCTGACTAAGACGAAGTATTCCAATATTGTTTTTTTCATATGGGATAAATTGGAATTAGGGTACAAGGACTCATCTTTGAGGAGGTATTATGATGACAGAATGCCTCATCTCGGTGGAAGTAATGATGATCATGCTACCAGTCGTAGTGATTGTCACAAGTGACCCAGTGTCAAGAATAGTAAGTTAATGAACACATTATTCCAAGGGAAAATATTCTGCTAAGTTCAGTAATCTAAATTTTATGTGTTTTGCAATTACTGGAAAACGAAGCATGCTGTGAATGCTGCAGCCACTACGATGTAGAACTCTTTGCGTATCAACAGTTCAATAGTATCAGCATTCCGGAGGTATTATCTAATAAAAGATGTTATATATAACATTAGGCGTATAATTAGGCAGGTTCATGATCGGTATTTCCGAACTTTATCCCTCATAATTACAAACAAGGGGTTGAGAAGATTTATTCATAGCTCTGTATTAGTACACTATGTAGACACTGAGCATAAAGTTGATATAGTACAGCATTTAAAGTTATTTACGGCGTTCCAACTAATCTAAATTTTGTCTTATGAATTTGTCTTCTACATACAGCTGAAGCCATCGGAATCCACCCAAAGAAGCCAGCCAGACCCATATGTTCAGAAAAAATTCGTAAACAGTCACTTTCAATACCTTAGCCGTCGTTACATGGCCACTTCTGTCTGTCTGTCTGTTTTCGACATAGAACTTTGCACCGATGTGCAGCAGTTCACGTCGCCACACTCCATGTAGCACACAAAGCAAGAGAAGAAAGTAGAAAAAATGTATAATAGAGACAGTAAACAGAGGTGTGAGACAAAGGAATAGTAATAACGAAGAACGATATAGTTTCATTTGAAATCATAAGTCACAAGGAGTGGATGCATCTGCGCCATTGAGAACGATTTCGAGCCATATCACTAATTGTCTCCAGCCACTTCACCCTCCGCCTAAACCTTTTAAACATCATAATTATCCAAATGACTTTATAATTTTTTCGACTACTTCACATCTTTAACTGCAGGTTAACATTTTCCATATTACTTGCCTTTTCTTTATTCACCTATTTTACCAGTACCTTATAAACACATCTGCAGGTCAAATCGTTTTCAAAGAATAAGGTGATAGAAAACGAAGAAGCAGAATAAAATCAATAGTGATTGAGGAAGATTAATCAAAATAAAAGTAAACCATTTGACTGAGTAAAGGGATTAATCCAAGTTGTTTACATTACTCACTTGGCTATACAACTTTTCATATGTTTATTTAAGCGATACTTTGTAGCATACTTTTTATCACATTTGCTGCACGAAAAATATACACCTTCAAATAAATAAGTAAATATAAACAGTCAGTCAATCAGCAGGTCGATCAGATCACATCAGAGTAGCAATTGACAAACACATGAAATAATAACAATAATAATAATAATAGACGTCTTTGAAATGATAGAAAGGATAAACAATTGACAAGTTGTTAAATAAGATAAATGGCAGTTTATAAAAATTAACATCAGACACGATGGCCGGCCACCTGGATGAGATACTCACTTCATTTCTGTTTTCTAGTTCAACGATGACCACTGACACAACAGTCAATACAGTGTAATATATAAACTTGAGTTATTCATTCACCTATATCTATTTCACATTTTTATTCCACCTTTGGTTTTATTCTTCTTGTAACCAAGATGACGGTAGACTCGGGGGTTTCATTCTACAAATACCTTCAGGGCACGACATTAAACGACTGACCACTCGAATAGTACTCTCACACTAAGACGTGGATGACTGACTGACAAGGCAGAGATTTACTGTTCTCCATAGAAAACACAATATGACCAGAAATTATAGTTAACAATAAACTTACTTTACATGATCAATAAATTAGGTTTTAAGACGTAAAAATTATGTTGTGAATGGACAGCATATGTGCTAGTAAAAATCCAACCAAAAACGGATCTAGAGACCGCAGTGGATATCCTGACATCACTATTCAAAGAAGTTAAAAAAGAAGGAAAGGTACCTACTGATTGGAAGAAGGGCGATCTTATCAAACTGTCAAAGAAGGGCGACTAACGCCTCTACAACAACTAAAGCGTAAATAAGCTCTTTTCCACATCTAGCAAAATATTAAGTCGCGTCATCCTGGAGAGAATATAAAATACAGTGGACAGAGAACTCCGCCTGCACAGAAACTGGTTCATCACTACAGGCCACAGTGTCATCCTGACTGACCAACCGGTTTCAACGTAGAACTTTACACCGATGTGCAACAGTTCGAGTCGCTGCTCTTCACTTAGCACACAAACCAAGAGAAGAAAGTAAAAAGAAATGCAAAACAGAGACAGTAAACAGAGATACGAGGCAAAAAGAATACAATTATCGAGGAACAATATAGTTTTATTGGGTATTATAAGTCACAAGGAGTGGATGCATCCGTGCCATCATCGAGAACGATTTTGAGCCATATTTCACCTATTGTCTCCAGCCATTGGTTTTCACCATGCCGAGGACCCCAAACAGGAAGCCTTCCTACATGGCTTAAACTAACTGTTGTGCGTTTCATTGATTGATGGAGCTGTGTTTTGATTTGACCACCGCTGGCTCTTTTCCAACCTGATCCTATAGCAGCTAACATTGCCCGTCGAGGAAGGCGATGGCTAGGTAAGCGTAACACATATGCTAACCATCTCAATTGATCTAACTTCACAGCCTCGTCAACTGATTGCCCCTCTTTACCTAGCACTCGACGCCTAACCTCAAAATTGTTCATCCTGTTATACCACCTCTATCGCGAGATAGAACGCAGACACCTATGTTCAATGTAGTCCAGTCTTTTAGCAACAACTTACATTTGGTGGGAGCGAATGCAGTGTCATAAAACTTTATCAATTTCTTTCAACAGCTACATGACACTGACACATGTCACGTGAACTACAACTGAAAACTCAGAGAAGCGCTTGAAGTGAATACACGAGTATGAAAAAGCTCACTGCCTATTAACATCGATCACATTTATAATTGTGACGGACTGGATTATGCGAAAGACTGTATGCCAGGAGCGAGAAGACAAAAATACATTGTGCCAATAAGACTCGAGAAAATCGGGATTTCGCGGACGATTTACTTGTTAGGTCATATAAATTCGAAGACCTACAGGCAAAAGCAACAAGTTGACACAAGAAGCAAACAGCAAAGACATGACTTCAAGTAAACACAGAAAAGAAAAATGTGATGAAGATAATCAAGCAACCAACAATCACTATCAGAGGAATAAACTTGAAGGAGATTACTTCCTTCATTTAAATAGGAAGCATGGTTTCAAAACCAGGCAGCCAGTAAGGATGAGAATGTCAAAATCAGAACCGGAAAGCAAGGCACACCTTGATCACTTTGGAATCATTCTGGAAATCTGCTACACTCACCATAAAGAGCAAAATTAGAATTTGCAATAACAATTTTAAGTCCGTTCTTCTGTATGGGTCAGAGGCCTGGCACATCACGACAAGGACTTCCAACAGACTAACGCAAACTTTTATCAACAGTGGCTTTCGCTAGCTCTATACTGCAGATCAGATGGCCACAAAGAGTTAGCAACAAGAAACTCTGGGAACGAACCAACAAGTGAGAACCTATTGCTTAATATGTATACAGGAGGAAATGGAGACGGATAAGACACACGCTTAGGAGACCACTGGGTAACATATCGCATGCCAGGCCATCGCTTCAGTGCAACCCAAATGAGATATGACGAACTGGAAATCAGTGCAAGGATCACATGGGGATTAAAGCTTATGGGCAGTCATGGTGACAGCTAAAGACTGAAGAGAATCGGACCAAAATGAAGATATCTTGTTGATGCCCATTGTTCCACCCAAAAGAATAATAATAATCAATATAAATCCATTGACATCACCTTTAAATGTCTGGTTAACAGATCACCTTCTTGCTTAACAATTCTTTATTTCAAGTCTGGTGTGTTATAGACGACAATTCAGCTGGTTAACACGTTTAATCAATCAATCAATCAGTTAGTCATACAATAAGCAAATCTCCAAGTCAACTGACTGAGTGATTATGCAATACATTTCAACATAACGAAAAAGAAAACAGTTCGGTCAGTACAAGTGTTGACATGAATAAACACACCCACATACATACACACATGCACATATCGCTCACCTTTATGATGCACCTGTACATGTTGCTTAAGGAAATTTTTAGTGGAGTATGTTTTATCGCACTGGGGACAATTGAATTTTTCACCTATATACAACAACAACACAACAGAGAAAAACACAAAATAAATAAAAAGGGATATAGTGAAGAGGAAACTTTTTCTTGCTTATATAAAGTGAGAAATTCAAATGATAAAAATGAAAAGATGGTGTATAATGTCAACTGAAAAGTCTGCCGAAAATATTTTTAAGAATTAGAAATAACGTCATATTATGGAACGTGCTACTAACAGGATTTATCAGTAGTATAAAAAGAGACGTTCAACTGCATAAAAACAGTCAAAGGGCGGAAAGGTAGATTTTATGTCAAAGAGGAGAAATGATGAACCAGTGATGCAGAGTAAATGTAAGAGAACGGAAGATCTGTGCATTTCCATAAAAGATATACATAATTCCCTTGTATACAGACATATCGAATTCCATGTAAACATTCCGGTACCAAGTCTCTTGTCTTCTACCGTAACAATATCAACTATCCTATATTGTCTAATAGTGAAACTATCTAAATTATTACTCTATATGACCAATCAATTACAAGGTTAAAGATATAAAATGTGTAATGTGATTGGATAGTAGTTACCAATAGACTAGGTTGGGTGGGATCGCATATTTGGCAAAACGATCGCGTGAGAAATGCTGACTCATAATATTTCGCCTTCCATTCTGATGTATATATATTACATCGACTAACATCTAACTGACTACAAAAGATATTTGCGATGAAATTTTCATGTAACATTAAAGACGAGTAAAATTTGCGACCTAAACAAAAAACATTATAGTAACAATTTGAATGCCTAAAGAAATAATAACTTGACCTATTTAGGTTTACAAGTGAAATGAAAAAGGAGAGAATTCGAAATCAACTAACAACTTCATCCTTAATCTTTAGAACCAAAGTAATATCATCTGAACTATGTTCTGTTATCTAGTGTTGAAGCGATCTCCGAATGTAGTTGTATGTCTACGCTTGTTAAACTAATATTATTAACTATGACGGAGTAATCAATCACCATTTGACGCTGGACTTCATTCAATTACTAACTGTACAGCATTCCAAAAGGTAGCAGGTGGAGGTGGTTTGTGTGTGGGGGGGGGGAGGGTGGAAGATGCAACTGCAGCATTCCTTTTTGATTTGTGCTAGTTTATATAGTTTAAGTGTAAGAAACTTGTATATTATCACAAGATGGCAAGGTTGGCATAAATCACCTTTCAGCGTTGATTACAAATGCAATATATTTTGATATAAAAAGTGTTGAAGAATGTAACCCTGAATCTGGCAATAAACTCTGATGAGTGTCAGTCAGTTCAGTGTCGCCTTGATGACACAGATATAAACAGCATTAAATACCTTGGAATAGTTTAACCCTCTGGCCTTTCTTGGTCTCCAGTTATACTGTCTATTTCGACGAAAATATTTCCCTCTAGCCACCTTTTACATTAGGAAGTTAAGATAATCTGGAATCACTCAACCTCTACTTTCACAGTTTCCTAACTCTCACAATTTACCTATTATACTTTACTGCTCCTCTATAATCTTTCTTAGGTTACTCAAAACGAACTATTTCATATTGTGAAGGGTATTAAAGGTTGTTGATAGGGCAGGTAAGTGGTGTGTCACTTAGCTTATTACTATTACAGTCGATAGACACCTGAACTCATTTGATAAACGGTCTAAATCCATACTTTCTGATTCACAATACCCTCTTTATTCACAACTCTCCACGCCTTGCATCTCATCAGGTAGGACTAGAAGTCATTAGAAAAGATTATATGCTGATACAAGCAAGTACAAAAAACGCGGGTCATAAAGGGTATCATTGAGTTTATGTGACAGAATTTATGTTAAACGTGAAACCTACAACTAACTATGGAATTAACAAACTAATCAGCGATTTCATTCTCTCTAATTTGTAATCTATGGTAAGACTATATCGATCAACTTATAATTTTAGTTATTAATATTATTATCATCACTATTACACATTTTCTGTGTATTTTTGACTTTATTGTCACTGCTAATACCAAAAATTCTGCCATTATCAATCCTCTAATATTTTTTTTATTATTTTTGGTTTTGCTGTCGTTGAGTAAATTGGATGCAATATTTTTGTATCAAATGCTGAGAATTCCGCATTGTGTCATATAAGTACTGTTTTGGAATAAAGCAAATTATTATAATAATTACTCATGACATTCTTCAAGACTTCGGTACTTAAATCACAGGTCATCACTGTAAATTAATTAAAGAAATATGTATAAATAGGCAGATAGATAGCTGTGAATCCTATACTGGGGATAATCTTACAGTCTAAATCATACAATTGATGTTTCACAGTCATCCCTAAAGCTTGACTTCATTTGATTTCAATTTGTTACACAATTCAGCCGTATGTACTTAGTCGCTTAAACACTACAGTATACGTGAGAAAGTTAACCATGAACTATATAAGATGAGCTCATTTAATTTAACACTGAGTGGTGACATTCCAATCCCAACTAAAGCGATTCCTCTCTCAACAGGTAGTTAGCTGTATAATTTCAATTCATATACACACATTCTTTATTCAAACATTTCATTTCTGAATGTCGAAATGATCAAAAGGACAACTCTGAATGTGAATAGACAAAATTACTCATTTTTAAAATCAGATGCTACTTATGAGTCAATATAGAGTTCTTATTATTTCAACTGCCCACCGAGTCAGAAGAATCAACAACACTGATTTGTTTACGAAAAGATCTGTCGTTTCTCGAAAAGGTCCTCAATGAAACTGTACAACCAGCTTGAGTTATGGTGAAAAAAACTAAAATAAAACTTTCAAAAAGAGAAATACTATTCAATCCTAAAGAAATTGCTACATGGGGAGGGGCGGATGTACTAAGCAGCAAAAGTCATAAAAAGAAAAATCTTTAACTATTGTGAAGAAGGCCTTCTTTTCAACAGCTGTGAGGGTGACATATTCTCTAGTAGTTCACTACTTTAAAGCAATTCGAAAGATAAACTCCAGCATAGGACCAACTCGGTATCCATATATCAGTTTGCTTCTCGTGTGAAGTTTGATACATAGGTTGCTCTATGTCGTCTCGCAGAACGAGTTAGTCAGCACTACACAGGATGGCTGGATTAGTGCAGGCAGAAGCGATATAACAGAACACCTCGTTAGTACCTGCGAAGACATCTCAACTCGTTCACTATTCCGAATTATTTTCAGTTGAGTAGTCCTTGTTCGAAAAAGAAACCGAATTCGACCACTTGCCACCCTCATTCGGCCCACATAGAATCCCTTTGCTACGGAGAAACAGATGAATCTTTTGAGAGAGGTACTGATGGAAAATGGATATCTGTCACGTTTTATAGACGAACTTATGCTGCGAAAACATATGCAATGTGATTTGACAACTGTAACCAAGAAAATGAAACATTTGAACCTTGAATTCAAATTTTTAGAAGAAGGGTTTCACGACATCCTATAAAATTGGCGAACTCCCTGTGTGTTTATTAACCTACCCGATACTGTGGAGCTAGGTACATAGGTCGTTCGACGTGGACTTCGTCAAGTAGAGTCCAACACACTGTCGTACCAGGTTACGAAGAGTTGCAAATGCAGCTAATATAAGAAGCCCAGTAGTTGAACATATGATCAACACTGATCATTTCATCTCTGTCACCTCTTCCTTTAAAGTTATCTTTAAGGCAAAAATTGACCAGAGTATCCGACTCCTCTGTATTGCTGAACCATCAGCAATTGAAACATGGAAACCAGAGATTTGTGAACAGTAAAAATTTGTTCAACCACTACTTATTTCGTTAAGGCTAGACCATTATAGTCCTCACTCCAACTTTGGCCCTATTTATTTTTCGTTTTGTTTATTCACTCTGATTATCCACCCTTTATTATTTGAATTATTATTATTATTTACACTTTGAACAATATCAGATGCTATCTCACTTGTCAACCTTTATTTGTTTAACTCCAAGTAATTTTTCGCAATCTTATCAACAAAATTCATGTCTAGTTATGAAGTATTTTATGTGCTTACTAATCTTATCACCCATTTCTAAGACTTATAGGTTACATGGACTACTTTACGCATTACGTAACCGATTTAACTCCTTAATGTTTAACTATGATTGGAATCTCAAATACGTTGTCGCAACTTATATGTATATGTATATATATATATATATATATATATATATATATATATGATAGTACATCTCGGTAAAAGACTCATTGCAAAAATCATCTTCAGTGAATCGTCTTAACGGGAATCTTCCATAAATCTAGAACTGGTACTGCGTCATCCCGATTTACTGGTCTGACTAGCCTATTTATCTGACCTCACAGTGATAACATGGTGTCTAGTAGATTCAACTATTGTTTAATAAGGTCATCATGCGTTGGTGGATCAGCAATAGAACGCTCATCAACCACGCCTCATGTGGTCCAGGGTTCTATCCTCGCACGACACAGTCCTAAAACCTCTTTAACCCGGTAATAAGGCCAGTAGACAGGGAAGGTTGGGTGTGACACTAGCAACTCCACCCGGTCGGTCGGTCGGTTTATGACATAGAACTTTGCACATATGTGCGGCAGTTCAAGTCGCCACACTCCATGTAGCACGCAAAGCAAGAGAAGAAAGTAGAAAAAATGCATAATATAGACAGTAAACAGAGGTGTGAGACAAAGGAATAGTAATAACGGAGAACAAAACAGTTTCATTGAAAATCATAAGTCACAAGGAATGGATGCATCTGCGCCACTGAGAGCGATTTTGAGCCATGTCACCAATTGTTTCCAACCATTAGTTTCTACCGTCCCGAGGACCCCAACCGGGAAGTCTACACCTCCCTACGTGGCTTAGACTAACTGTTGTAGATTTTATTGACTGGTGCCATGTTTTCGTTTGACCGCCGCTAGCTCTTTTCCAGCCTGGCCCTATATCAGCTAACATTGCCCGTCGAGGAAGGCGATGACTAGGCATACGTAGCACATGTATTAACCATCTCGGTCGATGTAATTT